AGTGGATATCCGGGGCTTAGCCCAGAAACATTAATGCATGTATCAAAATACACGGCATACACTTCAAATAAATTAGGCTATGCTAAAAGTTACATTGCTAAATGGCTTAATTTTTTTTTTTTAAAGAGACAAGTATAATTAATTATAATTTGCACTTACAAATTGCATAAATAACATTACAGTGTTTCCCACAGACTTCCATTCTATTTGTGGCGGCATATATATGCAGACTCATTCTCTGCCAGCAGGAATCGAGGTTTCCCCGGTAATGCTGTACACAAAGCAGAGCTCCGCTCACAAACGCTGCATTATCAGACATTACAAGCAAGAAGAAATGAAAATGAGTTTCCTTCAGAAATACAGTGATATAAAAACACCCGCACCGGCTTTCGATTTTGAAACGTGCAGCGCTCATGTTTATTCAGCATGTGTTAGCATGTTCCTCTCAAAGTCAACCTGTTCTGTGAGTTAGTGGAGAACAGCAGCTAGAGGCTAATTTAATGACATTAGAGTTAGTTAAGCTGATGGAAGCTCACCTGCTGTTAGCACCGCTACGAGGCAATCACAAGACTCCAGTACACCTCCGATGCAGACGACATGACCACAAACTTTAAAATAAAATACAGAAGATGTTCTTAACAGTGGTGTTTCTTCACTCAGTTTTCCTCAGTAGGTTGTCAGCTCGCTGTTTTATATTAACGTTACGTCTGTCACTGAATTTAGGGACCGTCTCTAAAGTTACATACGACATTGGTACACACTTTCTGACTTAAATAGCATTTGAAGAGAATTACCTTACTTGTGAGGATACACTTCAAATAAAATAGGGCTATGCTAAAAGTTACATTGCTAAATGGCTTAATTTTTTATTTTTAAAGAGACAAGTATAATTAATTATAATTTGCACTTACAAATTGCATAAATAACATTACAGTGTTTCCCACAGACTTCCATTCTATTTGTGGCGGCATATATATGCAGACTCATTCTCTGCCAGCAGGAATCGAGGTTTCCCCGGTAATGCTGTACACAAAGCAGAGCTCCGCTCACAAACGCTGCATTATCACACATTACAAGCAAGAAGAAATGAAAATGAGTTTCCTTCAGAAATACAGTGATATAAAAACACCCGCACCGGCTTTCGATTTTGAAACGTGCAGCGCTCATGTTTATTCAGCATGTGTTAGCATGTTCCTCTCAAAGTCAACCTGTTCTGTGAGTTAGTGGAGAACAGCAGCTAGAGGCTAATTTAGTGACATTAACGTTAGTTAAGCTGATGGAAGCTCACCTGCTGTTAGCACCGCTACGAGGCAATCACAAGACTCCAGTACACCTCCGA